TTTTTTCGCGGTTATGTTTCCCCTTTTCTGCAAATATAGACTAACTTCCTTACTGTTTTATTACGTATGTGACATTCTGATTCTCAAATTTGTGTAAGAACACTTATTTTTTCATTTACACATGTCATTTAGCCTCTACTGTAAAAGATATGGTGTTCCACACAATTCCTTTATGTTGTACAACCACAAATCGATTAAGTAAACTTAATCTTTTTTTACAAATTTAAGTGGATTGGACATAAAAGTTCTCAAAAAAATAAAAATAAAACTGTGTTGATTCAGCTCATCTTAAATAAGTCATTTAAACAATCAGGAAAAAATGTTGAGTGTGTGTTGCAAGGGAAAGATTAGAGATGCTGGATTTACAAACACAGGCTCATTCTGAAAACGTAGTCCTGTGGACGTTTCTGGAGACCACAAATTATGTAGCCGGAGGTACATATGGCTGCATTTCATTTTTTTAAGCAAACGCTACGGAGCAGTGGGACGCTGATCCCTTTCGTGCTTGCCGGCTGATTGCTTACCTCCATGTGGAGGGCTTTTCTGCTGCAACCAGTTTGTCCAGTTAGCTTGTGGTGTACGTCAGCGGACTTGAGATGCAGAAAGGAGCTGACCATGACGACGACCTGGTTCGATTCCGAGGAAGAGCGGTTCCAGAAGTCAGGTAAGACAAAAACAGAATCCAAAAAATAAAAACTGCTTGAGTTTAGGGAAGGAGGAGGAGGGTGATAAGTCAATCATTCAGCCAGTCGGATGGACGGTCCTTCGACAGTGGCCTCTTGTGTGTTTACACGAAAATGGCGCGGACGCGAACGTCGTTCGTGAGAGATGTTCGAGATGCGAAAAAGCGTGCACAGCGTCGATTCACAGAAAAAAAAACAAAAAAACTGCACAAATACATACCTTCCGGGACATATTTTGCAGTCTCCAGAAATGTCCATGGGACTACGTTTTCAGAATGAGCCTAGGCTGGGATTTACAACATGTTAATTTATTATCTACTCCTGAAATACATTAAAGTGTTACAATTTTAAAGATGGTTAGTCAAGGGGAAGGAGAGTAACATTAATTTTGGATGAAACACATAAGCAAACACACAATATCAACAAGTGAGCGACAAAATACCACAATTAACTAAATGCAATAAAGTGAGTTTATTTACAAAGATAGTAATAATAAGTGCAAAAATATGTATATTCTGTAGAAAGAACAATAAATATTTACAAGAATAACAACAAATGGGACACAAGATGATTGAACAGATAGATGGGAGAGTTGGAGAGATGAGACTCGTACAGTGTCCAAACAATAGAAATAAATAAAACAAAACAATCCACTCTATTGGCCCGACCTCTACCATGACTATCCAAAATTGATGATATGATGAATAATTAATGATTGTTTAACTGCATGAAAGAAGAATAGAGTGAACATACTATTAACCTAAATAGTGTGTATCTGATGTAACACACATTGCCCATTTATGTTTAAAAATGAGTATTACATCCATCTCCAGACATCAGAGTGCATTTTACAATGTTTCACAGGTACTCGTGTATATAATAATGTCTGTTTGAAAACATTGATTTAGCAGCTGATCATGTACCACACTGAACAATCCAATCACACCGGTGTGATTGTATGCATCAACTAACATAATTCAATATTTTCCAGCTAAATTTTTTAGAGCAAGAAGCAAACACTCTGTCACTTATTTACATTCAGTTTTATTCATGTGTGACTTATTTTGGTAAAAGTAAAATTACGTATTATGATTTTTCTTAATGCTTTTTTCTTAAATTGCACAATTTTTCACATAGCTTTCATCAGATTGAGAAATAAACTTATTACTCAAAATTTAAGCAAGGTCAGAATATGATTTCATGACTTGCAACTCAACCTCCATATTTTCTTCCCTTTCTCTGCAAAAATCCAACCAAAGCAAACATTTCATTCATCCGATTAGCTCCGCTGACTGTATAATAAACCATCTGATGGTAATATGTGAACATAATAAGCTCTACTGTCCAAAGACAAGAAGTCAAGTCAGATCTCCATCACATAAACACTTAAATTAAACTCCATCTACTGCCAAAACCCCACACAGTAATAAAGTCCTAAGGAAAGAATGGCATTCACTAGTCAATCTCAAGTTTTTCTAAGCAAGACTTTGAGCACATAAAATATTTTCATTTATTTTCAAGGTGAGATACTACAAGCAAAAACATTTTTATTTAATCTAATGTCAAGAAAAAAAAAAGCAAAATACATGCTTTAATCAAACTTCATCAGTTTGTGAATTTCAGTCAAAATACATATGTTAAGCAGCTTCACATACACCTTATTGCACACCTTTTTTCATATCTGTATTCTAAAGGTTTTACTGAGGGATTTGTTCATTATGATAATATACAACTTTGTATCCTGTAGAAAATAGGATTCTTTTATTTCTCTCTGGCTTTTCGCAGTATTTCCTTGATTATGGGGTAATTAAAAGTCATTCCCAAACCCCATCTATTTGTACCAGAATTTAAAACCTGACTTCATTTTAGTATTGTTATAATTTTTATTTTTATGTATAATGTAATTTATTATTTTATAAAACTAAGGATATATTCATTAAAATAATTTCTTATATTCAAACTTAAACATAACATCTTAAAAACTTGGCACACTGTAAAAAAAAAAAAAAATCCATAAATTAGTATTTTGGGGTTCATGTTTTTATTTTTCCCCATTTATTTATGCTTTTGATACCTTGATCTTTCTTCTGACAACTTAAACCTTATAAAGTTGGAAAAAGCCTTGTAATAAACTGCCAGAACATTTTTTTCAGTTATTTTACAGATTTACTTCTCTATATATTGTTTCTTATACAATATACAGTATTATTTCATTTACTAAAATGTTAATAAAAGTCACTGTTGAATTGAATTTTCAGCATCAAAAGTCGACGAAGCAGAAATCAAGATCTCATAATGCAATTCACAGAGGTAAATAAACAGAAAATTCAAAATATAGAAACTATTAATTAACAGTCAACTAATGTAATCAATCACCTTGGAAAAAATGATGATAGTTACTATTTTTTACTCTATGTACCTGAAGTGTCTTACCTAATGTAGAAAATGGTGAATGAAGGATGACAAAAGCCTCCTCTGTTGCTTTTTTTTTTTTTGTGAGACTCACCTTCCTGCTGTTTGTATCGATGGAAAACCAGGACACTGGATGATCTCTCCACTCCTAGACTGAGCCTCTCGGCGGGCAGCTTCCCGTATTTATGAACCCTGAAGATGTCGTGTTTCATGCTCACCCCGTAGATGTAGTCCTCAAACAGGTCGATACGGAAGGGCTGAGAGATGCCTGAAAGAAAGCAAACCAGACCCAGACTAAACTGTTTCCGTCGTTCATTTGCAATTAATATGATCCATGTGCGAGTCTGAGGGCAAATGGAGATTCAATAATGTAAAACAAAAGAGGAGAAATGTCAGCGAGAAGAAAAATGCAATACATGCCCAGAATATTTCAGTTTGTTTACCTCTATCTGAAATATTCTGTTGTGAAATCTAGTGAGTGCCCTATGTAGACAGCATTTTTAGTCATGCTTACAACCCTGCAAAATTAGATAATCTTAATGGATACATTTAAACCAGGATGACAGACAAGTTGATCAAAAGGACAAATTATTCATAAAATAGGTTAAAACACAATAATATCATTACAATTATAACTTCATATTTGCGAATTAGCAATCCCAGAAATCAACAATCTTGATGAAAAAAAGCTCATCCAAGATAGCAAGTGAGTTGAACAAACTAACGACTCTAAAGACATTTCATAAAATGAATAATAAAATAGGCTAAAACACAATAATAACACCAGATTACAACTTTAATTGCCTATGCATGGTGTTTAAAACAAAGTTGTGTCACTTTATTAGCATAGCGATATGCTAACATCAAACAAAAGAGAATTAAACACAAAACAAACAACAACAAAACGCAGAAATAAACAATGTCAACACAGAATCAAACAAAATATTAAAACAATTGCAATAAATAAAAATGTCTTAAGAATTATAACTTTTAAATCCATTTGTATTAAACTATAATCATTTTATACTTAGTGATGCACTCATTAGCAAGTTCTTTTCCTTTTTAAGTAAACTTAGCAACATGCTAACATCTTAACAAACATCCCAGCAAGATATCAACATCAAATCCCTTGCAGAATTAAATAAAGACTGCAAAACATGTATTTAGATTAGCTTAGCAACATGCTAACATCAAACTATTATTCAGACTGAAAAAATAGGCAAAACATTTCTAAAGCAAACTAAAACTGACAAATAAACTATGTGAAACTAAACAAACAATACGCAAAACACACAGACTCAGTTTAAATTTCATAACATGTTAACATTCAACTCGTGTTGAATTAAATAAAATGAACTACTTTAAAAAAAAACTATTCATTTAAAATTTTCAATGACTAGCTTAGCAACATGCTAACACCAAATTCTACTAAAATCAAATCTGCGTTGACTTGCTACCCTATAAGAAAATTCCTGCTGAGTAAGCATGGGAAGTAGATGTCGATGCACATTTTTAATGTTTACCAAGCAAAATAATCCCAGAAAGCACTGCAATGATTATGTAGCTCATTCAATGTAAAAGTTGAGTTGAATGAAATTTAATATTATTAGTAATGAAAAAGGTTAAAATACAATATTAACACCAAATTGCATCTTTATATTTGTTTGTGCCATGTTTAGTGTCCTTGCATCACTTTATTAGCATAGCAATATGCTAACATCAAATTTAAATAAGTTAATAAAAACAAAACAAACAGATAAACCAAAAAACACAAAAGCAAACAAAACACAGAACCAAACAAAAAAAAATAAATAAATAAATATAAACATGTTAATTTCCTTTTTTTGTTAAACTATAATCAGTTTACCCTTTGAAACACTCTTTAGCAATGTATTTTACTTTATATGTAAGCTTAGCAATATGTTAACATCTTAGTAAGATGCTAACATCAAACCTATGCTGATTTAAACAAATAAGGACTACTTTGAAAAACTTTCATTTTAAAATATTCCTAGATTAGCTAAGCAACATGCTAATGCCATCTGAGTTACCATAAAACAAGCTATCTTCAGTATGTACTGTTTGCAGTAGGTTTCTCAGGATGTTTAAATTCAAATCATTTGCTTTCTCAAGAAAAGCATTTTTCCATCACAGTCTAAATGTAAATCTGGTGAGTTTCTCTAAAGCTGAAAGTCGTGCGGTAAAAGAAGCGTCTCAGATCTTCAGCTTAGCATCTGCAGCTCTTCAAATGTTGAGATGGAGTGTTTCCCAGAGCTGAAGATGATTGTGTTTACAGAGATGGATTTTGAACATTGTGCAATTTTGTAAAACTCACCGTGTCGACTGCTGATGGCCACCAGTGAATCAGAGCCATCGAAGCGCACGCTCCCGATCTGAGAGAGTTCAGAGTCTGCCCAGTACAGACGCTGGTTGTAATAATCAATCGCGAGTCCTAAAAACACACAAAACAACATACTATTCATTTTTACACTACTTTAAACTTATTAAAGCTTTGCTTTAAGTATTATTTATGTTATTTTAGTATTTTTATAGTAATAAGTAAAAAGTAAAATAGAACAAAATAAAATTGTATTAAAAAATCTAATTCAAATGCTAAAGCTAAAATAAATTCTACATATATAAAATTTGTATTTAATTTAGTTAACCAAACACACACATGTATATATAATACAAAATGTAAACATAAAAAATAAAAATATATTTAAAAATAGAAATAAAGAAAATAAATTAATTAGATAATATACATACATATATATATATATATATATATATATATATATATATATATATATATATATATATATATACATATATAACTACAAATATACTACAAATATATAACTACAATATTTAAAACTTTATGTAAATATGCAAAACAAATGAAGCAAGAAATAAAATAAATGAAAACATAAAAAATAAAACTATAAAAGATCATTAAAACCAGTTTAATCAATAAAATTATAACAAAAAAAAAAAAAAACTAAAATGGTTGTTGAGTTGCACAAAACAATGTCTTAAAATAAAATCTAATTCAACCCATTAAGGTACACTCCTTGAAAGTTATTTTTCTGGTCCACATTTTGTATTGAATAATATGCTGACAACTCTGATAAATACTAATAAGCAATTAAAATAATAATGATAACCTATGTATAAAAGGTCAACCAGCTGGTTATCATGCACGCTAAAGGGTTAACGACAAAGTAAAACACTTTTTTTGTGAGTGCAATGTGAAAAAAATTTAAATAAATGTTGCTTTATGTATATTTTGGCTTTCACTTGGTCATTATACACCATACACACACTGTATAGCAGAACACTAAACATTTACTTTTCAAAGAGTAAAAATAAATACCACATGAATATTGCACATATAAAACACTTCAACTCAAACTTTACACTTTCTGATGCATTAAAGTTTCAGATAACTGAAAATCTTTTTAAAAAGCTCCTTTCCCCCACTGCAGATACATTTGCGGAATAACATTTGCTGTATGCTAGTTACATATTTTATGTCAGAAAAACACAGTGGAGTGTCACATCTTCACCTGTCGGTCTCCGCAAATTCCTTGTGATCAAAACACGACGCATCGACCCGTCCATAGCAGCCTCTTCAATGTGAGAGTGATCGCCGATTACGGTCCAATACACCATCCTTAAAAAACAATCACCCCAAAATCCATATATTACTAATAAAGTCATTGTCAAAATAACAAAATAAACATACTTAGTATAAATAAACATGTACTTCTGAGATATTTGACTTTTTACACATTTCTTAGGGGGTGCCAATACTTTTGCCCACTGTGGTTTAATTAAAATTTTTACATTTTATTTCAATATGTGGTTATGTGGTTTACTTTATTTGATCAAAGAATAATTGAAGTAGAAATATTTCATAACTTACTCCTCACATTTTACAAGGGTGCCATAACATAACTTACATATTCTAAAAAAAAAAAGGTCACGTACCCCCGTATAGGGTTAACAGTGATGGCGAAAGGCTCTCCGTCAATATCGGTGATGAGACGTGTGCAGTTTGGGCCTCCTAGCTGTCCCACATTGATGGAGTATCGAAGTCTCCGCCAGTGTGCCGTGTAGTAGCTGAACCAGTGCATTCGCGAATGATCTGTCCAGTATAGGTTTCCCGTCACCCAGTCAGCTGAAATGTCTCTGGGCCTCCGAAAATCTGGACACTGCAAATGTAGTGTGCAATAGAGCTTCAAAAACACCTCAGCACGAATTTACAATGCTAGTTTCTAATGTAATGGACGTTGGATGGTACTTCGTATTAAAGTTCAATGCACTTATAAAACAATAAACAAAATAAAATGAAACAAAAATAAATAAACTAATAAATAAACAACATTAAAAAATTGGGAAAAAAACAAATCCACAACCAACTAATAAATAAACTCATCAAAAAAAACAAAAAACAAAAAACAAAACAAAAAAAAAAACTAAAAGACAAAAACTAATGCAAAAAAATAAAGAAAATAACAATTATATTCTGTGCTTAAGACTTTTATTTTGTTATATGTATGTGTATGTATGTTTTTAAGTAGTAGGTTTTATTTTTTTTAATAAATAAAGTAAATAACAAGCATGACATTTAATCAAACAATATATAAAAAAAACCTTACTAAAACAAAATAAAAACTAGTAAAATAGTTCAAGGAAAGAAAAATAACATTAAAAGGGAAAGAAACAAACACACAACTAACTATAAAAATAAATAAACAAACACATCAAACCATAAATTTTTTTTATAAAAACAAAGACTACTTCAAAAAGAGTGAAGCTTCAAAATCCTTTTGGTACGACTTAACCATACTAATTTCAGAGTTAATGGCCGCTGGATGTGAAAAGGGAATTAGCATTTTAGAACTCACTATGACGCCGCTGTTTGTTGTGTCTGGACTCCTGTCCTGCAGGTCTTTGTAAAACATCCCGCCAGGATTAAACTGAGTGGCCCAAACAAACTTGTGATGGTGGAAAAGTGCGTCCATGCCAATGATACGAGCGCTGTCGGAGATCCGGGCGAGCTGAGTGTGCCCGTGAGTCTGGTTGTAGGGATACACAAAACTGCGGATTTCAGTGTCATTCGCCACGTAGAGGACCTGATCTTCTGGACCTGAAAACAAATTTAAATATACAAATAGAGGTGTGAAAGGTATAGAGTTAATGCAACAAACATACAAATAAGACAATCAATCAAAGCAACTTAACCGAAAAAAAAAAATACTTTGGATTGTCAACATTATTCTTGAAGGTGTTATTGATTGAGCTGTTGTTTTAATGCTATTTTTTTCTCCCCTTCAGTGAATGTTTTGTTGTTTCTTGTTGTTTTGTTCTTTTCTTTTGTTGCTCTTATTTGTTAAGCTAAATGTTAAGCTATATGTTAAGCTAAATATAAAAAAGAACTAAAGAAAAAAAAATGTTTATATAAATAAATATAAACAAAAAACAAAAAAAACATGCAAACAAATAAAAAAACAAATCAAGCTAAATATAAAGAAAAAAAATCAAATAAATAAATAAATATATAAATAAAAACATATCAAGCTAAATATAAACAAACAAACCAAAACAACAAACAAAACAGAATCAAACCAAATAAATAAATAAACAAGCAAATAAAACATATCAAGATAAATATAAACAAAGAAAAACAAACAAAACAAAATTAAACAAATTAAATAAATAAAAACAAATTAAGCCAAATATAAACAAAGAAAAATAAAACAACCAAACAAAAACAAAATAAGTAAATAAATATTAAGCTAAATATAAACAAAATCAAACAAAACAAATAAATAAGTAAACAAACCAATAAAAAACATATCAAGCTAAATATAAACAAAGAAAAACAAAACAAAACTGACAAAACAAAATCAAACAAAGTAAATAAATAAATGAATGAATGAATAAATAAATAAATAAATGAATAAGCAAACAAACAAATAAAAAAAACTAATCAAGCTAAATATAAACAAAGAAAAACATAACAAAATCAAATGAACAAAACAAAATCAAACAAAATAAATAAATACAAACATATTAAGCTAAATATAAGCAAACAAAACAGAACAAAAATCACACAAAGATTAAAATTATATGAAAATAAAACAAAAATAGAGAGAAAGGGTCAAAATAAACTCATAAATAAGCAAAAAATAAATAAATAAATAAATAACAACTCATCAAGGCAATAAAAAACAGCTGTTAATTTATGCACACAACCCTAAACGGAACATCATAACCCCGCATGTGTTTGATGTGCACACATGTTTGTTTTACCTTTGGTGATGCACTCGCCATGGATCTCCTTGAAGTTGCGGTCACAGGTGCACCTGTATGAGCCCTTGCTGTTGGTGCAGTACTGAGAACAGATACCGAAAAGCAGACACTCGTTCACCTCTGAGGAGAGGAAAAAAAAAACACATAAAGAGAAACACACATTAAAATCCATCAGATGTTCTGCTGACGCCTCCAGCAGATTTCAGCTTGTTCTGGGCTCTGCCTGCTGATTTCTGGAGATTTTGTTATTGTCAGAGAATTAAACTATTGTTTCATAGAACTAAAAATGTTTAAGAAAAGTCTAAAAAAGAAAACTGAAGGTTTACTTGTATGTTGGGATTTATTTATTTTTTTAGTAAAAAAACATTAGAAATCTGGGTGAATTTTAGGTCAACAACTTCTTTAGAAATATATTTCTTCAAACCATGACCTGTTCAATACATGTTTTACCCACTGTGTTTATACTGTGTATAACAACATAAGAAATAAATAAGCAACAAATCCTAAGTGATTGCTTTTTTTCTGTTTACAAAACTGAGAAGCTTTTTGTGATACAGAATAAATAGAATAATGTTAATTAAAAC